AAAATATTACATGTTCTTGAATGAGGTATGCTTAAAGAAATGAAAATTGGGCTCGGCGTGGTGGCTCACGCCTGTAATCCCAGAACTTCGAGAGGCTGAGGCAGGCGGATCACCTGAGGTCGGGAGTTCCAGACCAGCCTGGCCAATATGGTGAAACCCCCGTCTCTACTAAAAATACAAAAATTATCTGGGCATGGTGGCAGGCACCTGTAATCCCAGCTACTCGGGAGACTGAGGCAGGAGAATTGCTTGAACCTGGGAGGTGGAGGTTGCTATGAGGCCGAGATCGTGTCATTGCACTCCAGCCTGGGTGACAGAGTGTGACTCTGTCTCAAAACAAAAAAAAAAAAAAAAAAAAAAAAAAAAAAAAGAAAGAAGAGAAAATTATTACGATTCCCTTTATAGGCCTTTAATGAGTTATTAACCTATCATTGATGAATCTGCCTCTTGAAATATTTCACTTCTTGTTTTTTCAGGCTTACTGGAGTGATGTAATCTGCTCATAAATTTTCCAGGAGTATTTGGGGAACTTTAAAATTGAAAAAGCAACATAATCTCCCTCCCAAACACACATGCACACACACATATGCATGTACTTGCACTCCCTAAGACCACAGCGTGCATCTTTATCTTCACTTTCTATTGACTAGATTGATTGAACTTACTAAACCATTTGGGTCATCAAAGCCTCAAGTGCCTTGGGTTAGCTAAAGTATCACAAAGTCCACTAGCTCATTAGCAGTAAACCCTAATGTAGCAAAGTGATTAGAAATAAATTATTTACTTAATGTCATTTGCTTGTAAAAAATCATCCTTCCCATTTATAGTTTCAGTTGCTATTATGCAAAACTGTTCTTTTAAAATTTTGCTCATTCAAAATTAAGGATTTTTGAGAATCCGATTAGACACAAAGAAAACCAACACTTATCTGCATATTGCCATCATTAAATTCTTTAATAATAAGGAACCCCTAGTTGGCTCCAGAGAATGTTTAAAGATTTTTCCAATATTTTCGATTTGCAGAGTGGGAAAAATGATTTTAAAATATCATTGAATCTACTTGTTTGAAGCTGATTAGCATACATTGTTGTGTTATTTTTAAAGTTAATTTTATAAGCCCAAGATATGTAACTTTTATGAAAAAAGAAGATAAAACTGGAAAAAGAATCAGAATCTGGTATACATAAACAGATAAAATGGGTTGACAAGGGCTGGGCGCAGTGGCTCACGCCTGTAATCGCAGCCCTTTGGGAGGCCGAGACGGGTGGATCACCTGAGGTCAGGAGTTTGAGACCAGCCTGGCTAACATGGTGAAACCTCATCTCTACTAAAACTACAAAAATTAGCCGGGCATGGTGGCGGGCGTCTGTAATCCCAGCTACTCGGGAGGCTGAGGCAGGAGAATTGCTTGAATCCCAGAGGCAGAGGTTGCGGTGAGCAGAGATCGCACCACTGCACTCTAGCCTGGGCGACAGAGGGAGACTCCGTCTCAAAAAAAAAAAAAAAACAAAAGAAAAAGGTTGCCAAGTAGCCAGGCATGTTGGCACATGCCTATAGTCCCAGCTACTCAGGAGGCTATGGTGGGAGGATTGCTTGAGCCCAGGAGTTTGAGTGCAGCCTGGGAAATGTAGCAAGATCCCATCTCTAAAAAAGGTTAAAAAAAAAAAAAAAAACATGGGTTGACAGATACAAAGAAAAATAAGTGAGGAATGCATGTAATGGTGTGCTGAGGATGCTCCTTTTGGACTGTGGGTCCATATGAAAAAAAAGTGCTCTGGAACTGAGTAACAAATCCCTATTGAGAAGTTCCTTACAGGGTTACATAAAAGTATTGTTATTATTTTTGTTGAGACATAGTCTCGCTCTGTCTCCCAGGCTGAAGTGCAGTGGCACATCTCGGCTCACTGCAACCTCTGCCTCCTGGCTTCAAGCAATTCTCCTGCCTCAGCCTCTTGAGTAGCTGGGATTACGGGCGAGTGCCACGAGGCCCGGCTAATTTTTGTATTTTTAGTAGAGATGGTGTTTCACCATGTTGGCCAGGCTGGTCTTGAACACCTGACCTTGTGATGCGCCCACCTCGGCCTCCCAAAGTGCTGGGATTACAGGCTTGAGCGACCGCGCCCGGCCTACATAAAAGTATTTTTATCCATCTTTACAGTGGCTGTGAAGAGATCTGGGGATAATTCAGTTGCTTTGGTTTTTTTGTTTTGTTTTGTTTTGAGATGGAGTCTTATCTGTCACCCAGGATGGAATGCAGTGGTGCGATCTCAGCTCACTGCAACCTCTGCTGCCCAGGTTCAAGTGATTCTCCTGCCTCAGCCTCCTAAGTATCTGGGATTACAAGCATGCACCACCATGCCCGGCTAATTTCTGTATTTTTGGTAGAAATGGGATTTCACTATATTGACCAGGCTGGTCTTGAACTCCTGACCTCAGGTGATCCGCCCACCTTGGCCTCCCAAAGTGTGTGATTACAGGCGTGAGCTACCATGTGTGGCCAGTTGCTTTGGTTTGGTTGACTTCACTTCTTGAACAAGTATGAGGATGAAACAATCACAAATGTTTCTAATATTTTCTGAACAAGGAAGTGAGATGTTAGCACCTTTTTTTCAGTACTGTATCTACCATTATAGGATCTGTTGGGTAGTCTTAATTTCAAGCCTTCTAGAAAAAGCAGTATATTCTGATTTGGGAGTTTCTCCCATATGGTAAAAATAAAATGTGAAATTTCAGTAACTGGCATGAAAAATTTTAGTAGTACCCAGGAAGTTTTCATAAACTAGTGTTTTCATATAATACGGAAGTTTCAATGTTTTGAAGGTTCAGTAAATGATGAGTATACAAGAGTGAAGTCTAAATTACCCATTCAGAAGGGTAACCCTATAGCCCACATGTCTGGATTCACGTATGCAGATGGACAGATACACTTCATTTCTCCTGGGAAGTTGAGCTCTAAAAAGCTATCACTCAGAACAGACAGTTTTATGATTGCATGAAAAGAAAAGGAAAGATGACAAAGTTGTTATAAAAATGATAGGCCTTTTGCAGTATTAACAGCTGAAAACATTAAGATTTCAAAGAAGAAACAAAAATCAGCTTAAAACTGCAAATTAAAAAGAAAAAAAAAAAAAACAAAAAACTTGTGCAGAGGGTTTGAAGCATATGGACACCCACCCAGCTAGCAATGAGGGCAATGGGAGCCCCAGACTTTAGCTTATTAAAGATGACCTTTCCCCTCTCTAAAATTTCAAAGCTGACGTTTCAAGTGCTGAGCAGACTGTGTGCCATATGTAACATGACCTCAGCTCCACTCTGCCTGAGCACTGATGGCATCACTAATGAGAGGTGAAAGGTCCTTTTCTTGCAGCTTTTTCAGAAATCCACCAATTCTTGCCTGTGAAGTAAGGCTCCTCCCTCCCCTCCCTTGGTTTCAAGAGAACAGCATTTAATACACAGCCTCAAAACACTTTTATTACCGTCAATTTGCTTATAGCCATAGCCAAATGGCAGGATGTACAATCACATGCAGAAGAAAATATTTATTTTGACTCAGAAGGCAAAGGGATTAAGAGAACATTGTATTAACCTTGCCTTTCATCTGTGTTTTAAAGGGAAAGTCTCCTGAGGCATCCATTGAAGTTCTATTTTTTAATAAAGAGTATCAAAGGCTTTTAGGAGACCAGGTGTGTTTTTAACTGAGAGGAGAGAAAGGAAAGAAGCTTCAAGAGAGAGAAAAGGCAGTTTTCACAAAGCTGCTTCAGAGACTGCAAAAAGATGTATATGCTGGAATCTGTTACAGGCATTCCTAACAGCCAGCCTCCTCCACCGTCCCCCACCCCTTTTTTTCCTCCTGCTTGGAAACAAAATAGCTTTTTTTCCAAGCAGGTTGTTATCATATTCATGGCATGGTCAATTTCCGTTTGCCAAGAAAATATTTAGGCTGATCAAAGAAATGAGAAAATCAGCTGAATAGAAACAGACGTTCCCACAAGAGAAGCGCTTCTCAATGTGAAGAGGCAGACGGACTACAGCCCACCCAGTTACTCCTAGGAAATAGCTCTCCTGCCAAAGGCGGAACTACAAGGCCACCTGGATTCTGGATTCTGCTGGAGGGGTTACAGAAGAGTCAAGACTTCCCAGGAAATTCAAATAGAGACTGGAGTTTGAGGCGCTCTGGCGGCAGACGTGGATGGAGATGATCGGCTCTAGTATCTATGTACAAATCAGGAGGGCCTTTACGTCCATGAATCCAGAGTGACCTTTCAAGGCAGAAGAGAAGTGAGTCTGGGATCCTTTTGTTTTGCTTTGCCTGGTTTACTACGCTCATGGCAAGAACACATTATCCTGGGTAGATGACACAGAAGTATGTACTTTTGGAATGGAGGGATAGCTGTTTCAGCCGCATTAATACGAGTTCAGTTTTTTTGATGCGTGGATTTGGGTGGAGAATGGTTGATAGTAGTTGTCTTTAGGACTTTATTGGTCTCTGCGTGCGCTTCCCGGCCAGTTGGTGACGGTAAACGAGACGGTCTTCCATCTCTTTGCTGTTTCTGGGTAATGCGCGGCCAAAGTAAGTCCACTTGCTGCGGCGCTTCGACGCGAAGGACTGGCTAGCGTCGCGGCTTCCGGCCGCAGGTTCCACGAAACTGAGAAGCCGGCTCCGCTCACCGAAAGGAGATCCCGATTCCCCCGCTCGTCTCGCGCAAACTGAGGCACCTCATTCGCCAGCGAAGCGTCGCCGTCCTTATCCCAACGCCTCCAGTTTTTGGAGGGAAAAAGTGAGGGAGGGATGGCCCTAAAAGAAGGCGATTATGGAGACAGCTAAAGAAGCCAAAGAAAACTCCCTCCTCACAAGTCCCGTCCGGGACTACGTGGCGCTGGCGAGGCCAAGGTGGGCTGAGCGGTCCCCGGGCTTTGGGCCGAGAATCCGCTCCGCTATCCCAGACCCTTCTTGCCGCGCGCTCTTCACTCCGGGGGCTCGGCCGGGCAGATTTTCTTTCTTGTTTTTGTTTTTTGTTTCGGTTCCTGCCGGCCGGGCGAAAACTCCTTTGCCAGGAAGACAGCGCCCTCTTTCTCCTCCGGCCGCGCCGCCGCCGGCCTGCGCCGGCTCTCCGCTCCACTGACCTCCCCGCGCCTCCTTGTGGTCCCCGCCCTTAGGCCCCGGCCCCTCTTTCCTCATGCCCCAACGCCTGTGGGCCCCACGCACCGCCCGAGGGAACAACCCCAGAGAGCAGCGAGCAAGGGCCGAAGCCTGCCCGCGTCCCGGCCCTCAGGCCAGCCCGGCGCGATAGCGCGACCTCTGGCTACAAGCCTGGGCTGAGTCGGCCCCGCGCAGACGCGGCACCCGAGAGCTCCCGCGCAGCCCGGGAAGGGAGTTTCTGGTGCAGGCGGCGGGGCGACGAGTGAGGCCCAGCTCTCCGAGACCCCGCGCTGCGGGCCAGCGGAAAGGGCTGCGAGCATACCGGGCGGTGAAGCCTCCCCCGGCGTCCACGCGCGGATACTTGGTTGCGCTCGCGCACCTGGCACAGCGTGTTATACTGAGGCCCAGGATCAGTCCGCGAAACGTGGACCCGGGTCTGCACCCGGGTGTTGGGTGAGGGTGGCGGGTGAACTTGAGTAGAGGTAAGGAAACATCTTACGGCCTTCTTCCAAGTCCTAAAAGCGTCCCTCGCAGCCCTCCTGTTTGCTGGCAGCCTCACCCTGCTGGCTTCCAGGAGGGCTTTGTCAAGCACTGCCGCGGTGTTGGAAACCTTGTTTCAAAGTCCAAGCCTAAGCGAGTGGGCGAGACGCGCAGAGGAGCATGGGTGAGTGGGCACCTTCCCAGCACCCTCTACCCAATGTCTCTTTTCCCACTGCTCAGAGGACTGGTCATTCAGACAAACGCCGCGCGGCCCTTTTGGGAACAGAGGCGGTCGAGCTTCTGTCCGCGAAAATCTGGATCCTTTAGAACCCGAACAATATGCTTGCGTGAGAACGCAAAAAGAGATCCACGGCGTGGGTATGCACCGACTGAGGTACAGGCCTGAAGTGCTCCCCCCCCCCCCCGAATTCCTACCCGCTCCTGGGTGCCACAGGGGTAGTTTGCTTCCAGCTGACCCTACTGCACAGCACAGGCGGCTCCCAGAAATGCACTAATTGAGTCACAGACCACTGGCCCCAACTAACAAAGCGATCCATCTCAGCAGCTCAGCGCCCAATTTGTCCGCAGCGCTTTCTTCCGCAATTCAGAAGCATTATCTTGTTTTAAAAAGTATCACGGCAGAGACGTGGCAATTATCCTGAGCTCGGGTTACACTAAAAGGCTTAGGCTGAGAAATGGAAGAATACAAATGCCGCGAGCATGCTGATTGCCTGGCTGCCGAGCCTGGACCGGGAGTAGGGGAGGCGAACTAGAGCTTTCGGCCGGGGAGAAGGGAGGCAGGCGCAAGTTCCCACTTGTGGTCCTCTCCGGGTGGCACCAGCGAGAAAGGAGTGTTGGCCCTTTATCTCTAAATAAGGATTCCCAGCGACGAATCCCCAAAGGTCGAGGGAGAAGAGGTCAAATCCCAACAGGACCAGGCCAAGCTTCTGGTCTCAGGGTCTGGGTTTTGGGTCAGGAACAGGTTGGGAACTTCAGGCACTGCTGGGATAAGGAACAGGAGAAAGGTCAAGGGTTAGTGAATGAGATGGGGGCGGGGGGGGGGGGGGGCGGGACGGAGATTCCAGTCTCTCTTCAGGACACACACTCTACAATTGGGCAATTGAGGAGGAGGAAGGCATCGGGAGAAACGACCCGAAGGAAAGAGAAGCTGGCTCTTTGCAATGGGAGAAGGCGTTCACTCCTGAACCAGGGGCAGGCCTGCGGCTCGGTGGACGCTGTAGGGTGGGAACGCTCGATAACTGGAGAGTCCCAGAGACCACCAGGCCTTTCCGCACCAGGAAAAAAAAAAAAAATCTGCTCTAAGAATCTTCATCTCGGTCCACCAGGGTGAGTTTGGACGTGGAAACTGGGGGGAAAGAAAAGAGAGTAACGAAAGGTTTTCGGGTGGCAGCGCCCCGCGTGCAGATGTCTGCTCTCGCCAGCCGCCCAGCCTGCTGTGGCAGCCACGCTGTGCGCGTGTCTTTATCCTTCAGCTCAAACCAGCCCCCACATCTTGAAGTAATCAGCAGCCGAGAAGAGACTCGTCCCCCTGGCATCTCAGGTTAAAGAAGGAGGTCCAGGAAAATGTGGTAGAGCCATTACAAGAAACCCGAGCCGCAGTCATCAGGGACTCCAATTGCCATCGCATTAGGATTGATTAGAGACCAGCAGTACCGTAATGACCCGGAAAGAGGGGCAGCCGGGGATTATTAATATCAGAATGTGGGGGAGTGGGGGAGGCAAAGTGGGGAGGGAGAAGTTTCAAATTACTACGATTTATATGTAAGTGCAAGTTTACCTGAGGAAACCAGATAGTCAATGAATCACGCTAACGATAAATCTAATTGCATTTCAAATTTCACGAAGCCTGATTTTTTGGAGAGTGGAGTAAAACCATCATGAAACCAAGCCAATATCTTAGTTTTTATAAACACGTAGTTTTATAAGTTTATTGTAAGAATTCAAGTGAAGAGATGGGGAGGAGCCCTAAATGTCTGCTTTCCTTGTCATTGGGCCTCCTTACCATTTGGACTCTAAATAGCTTCATTTTTTTTCTCGTGGGAGTGCATTTTTGAGTCGCTTTGGTTCTTCCTCCAGGGATATGGGGCAATAGAGTGGACATTTTTTTTCAGAGCCTGCAGAGGAGTAACAAACCAAAATTTAAGTGAAGCAGTGATACCTGGGTAGTGGTTTTTGTTTTTTGTTTTGTTGAAGACATGAATGATCAGGATCCCAAGGAGATGTGGAGAAGAGAGTGGTTTGTCTCCTTCCTCCAAATACGAGCCAAAACAAATCAGCCCCTGATGGTCGGGGCTGAAATACAGCTCACTGGATAATTAACTCCATCTTTCCAGTCCACCCTAACTGTTTATTTAGTGTCACCCTGCATTACCGTCACTAGCACTTTCCTCTGAACAGGAGGAGCTGCAGGCTTTCACCTCCCAAAAGGAAATTCTTTTTAGCTTAGACAGATGTGGTATTCAGGATGTACATAAGTTGAGAAAAAAAAGTTGATTGGAAATTCAATGGAAGATAAGCGGTTTTGGAGAGTTTCGTTTCATAAACCTGCCCTAAGGAGAGATTTTAAAAGACAGGGAATGGGTGTGGGGTGGGGGTGGGGGCGCGGAGTCCCTTAAATTCTTAAGAATTGTTTCTTGTGACACCTTGGCACCACTTTCCAGAGAGGTAGTTGCCATCTGATGTTGAGTAGGGTCTTCTAGCTCAAACCTGGCGATTGGTCAGAGCTTTCTCTGAGGGCAGCTGGTTAGCCCTTTTCGCCCCTAGGTGGCCAGTACACCTTTGCCCACCCTCCCTGCAGGCCCGGCCATCTTTTGCGCGCCCTCCACTCCCCGTGAAAGGTTCTCGCCAAGTAAGGCCTACTACACAGCCCAGACTTGAGGGTCTACTCTCAAGTGAACTTACCTGCGCTGCCTCAGTCATTGGGTGACATAAACACACTCTGTGAAACCTCACAGTGCCCAGTCCCGGAGAGATAAAAACAAGCGCCGAGAGCCGGCGGGGGGCGTGGTGGGGGGGAGAGGGAGGGAAGGAGGAAGAAAGAGGAAGAGGAACAGGAAAATCAACGAGAAAGAGGAGAAAGAGAGAAAGAGAGAGATAAGGAGAGAGAATGAGAAACAGGTTCACATACAGACAGAATGAACGAGCGTCCTCTTTCAGATGGATAAAAGAGTAAGAGACACACTCTAGGAAAGACCTGCCGCGGGGACACACGTAGAGGGAGAGAGAGGATAACTCTTCCAAAGACACACACCCCAGCTCTGTTCCCCTCCAATCTGAGCTCTCTCCCAGCGCTTGACCCTCGGTCGGTCCATCAGTCTGTGTGTGTTTCTCTCTTTCTCCCTTCCCCGACCTCGAGACAATACGGAGATGGTATTTTCGGGAGTCGCGCGGGGCGGCACGGTTTTCAGCAGCGAGTCAGGCTCACAGCTGGCTCTGTTTGTCCAGGTGTGGGCGGTGGTGGTGGTGGGGGGCGGCGGTCGCCCTGTATCTTGGGCCAGCGCAGCGTTTTCGCACCAAGGAAGTAGGAGGCTCTGCTCTCCAGCTTCCAGCTTCCAGAAGAAAACTTCCTCCCTCCGTACATAGATAAATACACTTGGGGAACAGACAAATCTTCATTGTTCAGAAATAAGCTGAGGAGGCCCGCCTGCTCCCCTCCGCCAGGCAGAGAGAGGCAGGGAGGGAGGCGGGGGCCGCGCGGATCCGGTGTCACGTTGCAGATTCCCACTAAAGATAACGAAACGTGATCTATTTTTCAGAACAGCAAGTGGATGGGAAAGAACCTTGACAACACAAAACTCATTTACTAATGGACTGGTTTTGGGTTTCTCTTCTCTGAGTCCGCACATCTCTCTGCCTGAGCCCCAGGCCTATTCAGACCTCGTGGGGAGCGGTGTCCCCCAGGAGCAGGTGGGCTGCTGCTCCGGCGCCATGCCGGCCGTCAGAGTCGGAGTTCCCAAGGGTGGAGGGCACCCGGAGTTTCCGACTAAGCACAGGAAAAATAATTTTGGCACTTCAGCCCGGATTTGGGGAGTCTCCGCACTGCCCCAGAGCGATGACACGAATTTATTGAAGAAACACCTCTCTGTGCCCTCCCTTTCCAAATATTTGTAGGTAGAGTAGGATCCTCACCGTCGTTCTGGATGGTGAAAGAATTCCAACAAAGCTGTCCGGGAGCCCCAAAGTATCTTGCTCCAAGCCAGAAGGGAAACAAGTGGGTCCCAGCTAAGGGTGTTTGCATCAAGGCCTATGTGAACCCAGCTGAGAAACCCTAGCAACTGCTAATGCTATCCCATTGAATGCTTTTTTGTCGACTAATTATGCGCACGCGGCCGTTACCTGCACAGAGGAGGCACTGGAGAGCCGAAACCTAGCATCGGGCGCTCCTTGCCAGCGGTGTTCTCTCCTGAGCCGCACTGCGGCGAGGGCAGCAGCCGCTGGCTAGAGTTGCTCGTTTCCTTTAAATCTCCAACGCATCTCTGCTTTTCGTGCGATTTGCATTGACAGCAAAGGTTTTATGTTACCAGAACAACTCAAACCTTTCTGCGTGCGATTTTAAATGGATCATTTGGTTTAGGTGGTTTGTAAATTCATGTCATTTTATCTCTTTTAGTGATTTTCAGTAAAAGATTCCATTTTGGGAAACCTTATATATCCGAGCCAATAATTAACATTTATAACAATTGGTTCCCCTAACCGAGGGATCGAAATAGCAGGTAGACTCCTTGGTATAAAGCGCAGAGCACTTTCCATTTCCAGTTACTCGATCTATTGGATTAAGCGGGAGGAAAAATGTTGGCGGGCCCAGTCACGGCCTCCGAGGAAGAGCACCTCTTCTCTTCTACCCGGGTTCCCGCAATCACAGCTTCTACACGTCGTTTTCCCAGTTGACGGCAATGTATCGTACGTCCTGGTTCCTTTTGAAGACAGGTAAAAAGAAATAGGCAGGTAGGTCTGGAGGAAGCCGGGGTGGGGTGGGGGGGAAGGTGGTCCTATTCGTGTCTAATTGCCATCTCTCTGCTCTCTGTCATCCTCTGTAAATTTATACCTGCCCTTATTTGTCCAGGCTATGCCTCATTTCCTTATACAGAATCGTTAATTACAAAACAGACCTCATACTCAACATACTGTTCGTCTTTCAAGAGACGTGGTTGTGCTTAAAGACCCTTCCCTCCTTGTAATTGTGCGCACTTGCTCCAGACTTTAGGGTATTAACTGATTTTTTAGAGCCGGGTTTAAGCCTCCGTTCCGGTCCTCACACAGCTGCCATGTCAATAAGGACTGTTTCAAGCAGAGACATTCCTTCTGGGAGGACACTGCAGCTCCTTAAGACTTCATGTGAAACATCATAAGCACTAAAATGAGACAGTGAGGGGAAATTACCAGAGGTGGCTCTGGGTTTAGCAGTGCCAGGCTTCCAGTTTAGAAAGTCATTGGGCATACTATATGGCAGAGGCTCTTTTGAAAGAATGCACACCCATTAAATGCATTTTTTTAAAAAAAAAAAGCCTAAGGTAATGAAATATAAGCATCTGCTTCCAAGATCTAATTGCATGGAATAAGCAAGAGTTTCCAGGATGCAGAAAGCATTATGTTCAGCAGAGAAGCAGCTTCCTGTCTACTTGGAATCTCCCATGTGGCAACCCTGAGGTGGGAACCCTATATGAGTTTAGAATGTATGTTGCAGGGTGCACTGTACTGGGTGCATCATTTTAAAACCATATTAATAATAAAAGGGGAAACCCAGACACTGCTTCTCCTTCTCCCACTTGCATCTCAATATGCAAAAGGTTCTGTAGTGCTGGGCTCTTTGACTAAAGGAATCAAAACATATTTAAAGAAGACAAGCTAGTTTAAGGAGCCTACAGTTTGTTCTTCACCACTCACTAAGAGGGCACATTGAAATCAAAAGCATTTTTGAAGTGTACTTAGAATTCTGTTTTGAACTTATCTAATCAGAGATAAGTATAGTCATAAAGTCACTCTCCTTCCACCATTTGGCTTCCCTTATCTCCACGCATTGTTCTTATCTCCTGCTGGTCTCAGCTACTGACAATAGATTATCTTTGTTTAGAGAGGCTAATTGTCTTCAAAATCTTTTTAATAATTGCTTTGGAACCAGGTGTGCAAATGAGGCTTAAGATAATTACAACTTCATTTGTTTGTGCAGTTTTACTAAGCATTCTCCACACATAAACAAAACAGCAGATGATGGGACTTAAATTGCAGTACATCTCTCATTCCTTGGCAGCAAAATAGGCCAGCATTGCAACACACACACACACACACACACACACACACACACACACACACACCCCTCTTTATTTAATCTTCTTGGAGCCGCTGTCGTCCTCGCTTTGAGGGCAGTGTCCCTCTCAGAGCAGGGTAAGGATTATGTTACAACCGGACGGTTATTGGAGCCGGGCACAATTTTATTTAATTTACACCACATCCAGCGCCTTCCGTACGAGGTTCCCAAAGCATTTTTGCTAATAGCAAGTAAAGCTTCTCGGCATTCCTCAGTAGCAGAAGTGGCATTGGAAAACGCAATGGGGATTGCGTTAGCACTGATGGGGAAATTGAGTCCAGAAGCTTCAGGAACCTGCTGGTTTCAACCGCAGAACATTAAGATAACAAATCACAAATGAACGCTCGGAGTCTCTAGGTGCTCAGCAAGTATGCCTGAAACACCTCTTTGCCTGGTCTCAAATCATGGAGGTCCTTTGTGAACGAGGGAAACGCTGTCCGACTGGGAGTACTTGTGCCCTTTGGAGGGTGGTGTGCGGCAGCTGGGGGAGGACAGTGGGAGTTGGTGGGGGGAGGGGGAAGGAAATAGGGTTGGCTTCTCGAGCTGAAGCCAACCCGAAGAGAAGCCACTGTTCCAGAGGCTGCATGCGGAGACCCAGGTCTGCTCTTGAATTATTTATCGCGTTCCATAAGCTATTCATCAATCCATTATTTATTCATTCCAACATTAAAGTAATTAAATATGAGCTCACCGGGAAAGGGCAAGTTTGTAAGGGATGAAAGAAAGAGTACGGAGGGAGAGGGGAGGAATTAAGGTTTGGAGTAATTGATTTGTGCGGAGTTTTGCGCGACTCCCCTTAGGTGATACTGGTGACGGGTCCCGCGCTGCAGGGTCCTGACGCGCTCACCCACTCTCTACCTCCCCACACCTCCGCAGCGCAGCTCCCTCAGACCCCAACTGGCTTCCCACCTTTCCTCTTCCTTCTCCTCCCACCACTCCCTCCCTGGGCAGCCCGGGCAACACCCCCAACCCCCAGCTCCTCAGCCTCGCCCTCCCCGCGCTGGGCGGTGCGGCCTCGATGGGCGGCGCGGCCTCTCTGCCCAGCCGGGCGGCGCGCTGGCTGGCCAGCCCCGGATAGGCGCCGCCCGCAGCCAATCACCGTGCCGGGGACGCTGCGAGCTTTAAGGCCGCTGCGGGGAGAACAGAAACCAAGTTCCCCGGCAACTAGCAGCATCCACCGGGCGGGAGGTCGGAGGCAGCAAGGCCCTAAAGGCTACTGAGTGCGCTGGCCGTTCCGTGTTCAGAGCGTACCCTACTCCTCCGCCTTCTCTTGCTTGGCTGCCCACCTCCAAGTTCTGACTCGGGTTTTCGCCTTTGCAAAGCCTAAGGAGGAGGTTAGGAACAGCCGCGCCCCCCTCCCTGCGGCCGCCGCCCCCTGCCTCTCGGCTCTGCTCCCTGCCGCGTGCGCCTGGGCCTTGCGCCCCGGCAGGCCCCAGCCATGTCGATGCTGCCGTCGTTTGGCTTTACGCAGGAGCAAGTGGCATGCGTGTGCGAGGTTCTGCAGCAAGGCGGAAACCTGGAGCGCCTGGGTAGGTTCCTGTGGTCACTGCCTGCCTGCGACCACCTGCACAAGAACGAGAGCGTGCTCAAGGCCAAGGCGGTGGTCGCCTTCCACCGCGGCAACTTCCGTGAGCTCTACAAGATCCTGGAGAGCCACCAGTTCTCGCCTCACAACCACCCCAAACTGCAGCAACTGTGGCTGAAGGCGCATTATGTGGAGGCCGAGAAGCTGCGCGGCCGACCCCTGGGCGCCGTGGGCAAATATCGGGTGCGCCGAAAATTTCCACTGCCGCGCACCATCTGGGACGGCGAGGAGACCAGCTACTGCTTCAAGGAGAAGTCGAGGGGTGTCCTGCGGGAGTGGTACGCGCACAATCCCTACCCCTCGCCGCGCGAGAAGCGGGAGCTGGCCGAAGCTACCGGCCTCACCACCACGCAGGTCAGCAACTGGTTTAAGAACCGGAGGCAAAGAGACCGGGCCGCGGAGGCCAAGGAAAGGTACGCGGCGTGCTTCCCGCGACTCGGGCGACCCCAGGAAGCCTTCCTTTCCCCTTCGCCCCCTCCCGCCCCCGCAGGCACCAGCCACCAAGTCCTCCCGGCCGGCCGAAGCCCGTCCACCGGGCGGCGCGCAGGCCTCCGCGGCGCTGCAGCGAAAGTTCATGAACTCTGAGGTTCCTTGCTAAGAATGGGGCCTCATTTGCTTTGAGCACCCGCGCGTGGGTTTCTCTGGGATGTGAGTGTCGGGAAATATTGGCGCTAGGTTTGGTTTTCATGCCTCCCTGGCTGGCCGCGGCTTGGAGTGGTGGGTGGAGAGTGAGTTTCTAAATCAACGGGCAGTGAAGTGTTGATTGGTGTCGCAAGGAAAGGAGTTCGGTGGGAGCTGAGGTTAGCGAACCTCTCTCCTCTTCGCTCCCCAGAGGGGTGAAGCTGGTCTGAGACATTGGCTCTGCCCCCACTCCTTGCGGGGTCTCCACCGCTCTTTCTCGATAGTCTTTTGGATTAGGGGTCGCCTGCTTCATTTCTCACTAGCTGGACAAAGGGCGGAGTCTTTTAAAAACACACCAAAAAGAGAGCTCTGGAGAGAGTTGGCGCTGCATTTACTCCCCGGCGCCCCAAATTAAGAAAGGGTTGATCCTCGTCGTGCTCGCTCGCGCGTGGCCCGGCACTGCAGCCCGTCGGTCTGGCTGAACGCGCCGCCTGCCCAGACGAGGAAAGGGTCTCCATTCGCAGCCTTCTCTCGCACTGGAACTCATAAGGCAATGTTTTCAAAATTGGTCTTTACCTTCCCCCACCTCAGGGCAACACCTTCGGCCACCTGGCCAGGCTCCTTCTGTTCTCTGTAGAGTTTCCGACAGAGATTCGGAAGAACGGTGGGGAGGTGGCTGTGGCGGGGAGAGCGCTCTGCGAAGCCAAAGAGTTGGGGGGAAATCTGAGCGCAGGGGCCGCTTAGGTTTTCCTTTGTTCGCTTCCAAGACTGGGGGCGGAAGATCTTGCTTCCTTTCTTGCTTAATGGAAAACCAGAGCCAGGATAAATTCTGCTGAAATGGGCTTGCCGGGAGACAGAGACTGTGAGGATAAGGGGAAAGAAAGGAGGAGACAGGCGCGAGGAGTCGGGAGGACCGGCGAGCACTCGGAAGGCGGAAGCAGCAAGGGAAGCGAATCCTGAAGTTAACCGACACCGAGTGCCGGGACTGACGCCCCAGAGCGCCGCGCCCGCTGGCAGCCTGTGCGAAGTTTCCCCTGCCCAGAAAGGATGGGTTAGGGTGGGTGTTGATAGGAAGTTTGAGAGGGGGACACGAGGGGCTGAAGGGTTAGCAAGTAACACAGGATCAGGGATTGTAGGGTTGCAGTTAGCCTTTAGTTGCAAAACGGCCGTCCTATAAACCAGGCCCGAGGGCCGACTCTAGATGAAATCAGAGAGACTGGCTGCGCTCCCTGTGTTTACTCAGGTCACTGGGCCGCTCTGGGCACCACTTCCC